TTCCGTTCTGGGCCCAGGCCAACGTGTTCGCCGGCTGGGTGATCCTCTTCGCCCTCGTGACGCCGATCCTCTACTACACCAACACCTGGTACACCGCCTACTTGCCCTTCTCCGGCGCCGACACGTACGACAACACCGGAAAGATCTACAACGCAACCCGCGTCGTCGGCAAAGACGGAAACTTCATCGTCGAGGAATACGAGAAATACAGCCCCCTCTTCATGCCCGTCACCTTCGCCCTCAGCTACGGCATCTCCTTCGCGGTCATGAGCTGCGTGCCCACTTACATCTTCATCAACCACTACAAGGAAATCATCGGCGCCTTCAACCCGGGCAGGAAGAAGGACATCCACGCCCGCCTGATCGAGAAGTATCCCGACACCCCGTGGTGGTGGTACGCAATCCTGACTGTCATCGTCCTGGTCCTCTCGATCGTCGTGCAGGTGGTCTACAAGACGCAGATGCCGGTCTGGGGCATCTTCGTCGCCTTCGGCCTCGCCATGGTCTACCTCATCCCGACGGGCAGCGTCTACGCGGTGGCCAACCTCAACAGCAACGTCTTGACCGTTCTAGGCGAAATCATCTCGGGGTATCTCATCCCGGGCAAGCCGATCGTCATGCTCATCTTCAAGTTCTACGCGTACACTGGCCTAAGCCAGGCCATGATCTTCTCCTCGGACATGAAGCTCGGCCTGTACATGAAGATCCCGCGACGAACGCTCTTCATCGCGCAGCTGACGGCATGCGTCGTCGGCTCGCTGACGCAGAACGCGGTTCTTCTCTGGATGCTCAACCACGTCAATGGCATCTGCAAGGAAGACCAGCCGAACGGATATACTTGCCCGCAGGGGCGTGTCAACTTTTCGTCGAGCATTGTTTGGGGAGCGATTGGACCGGCTCGCTTATACAGCGTCGGCAAGATCTACTCTGGTCTCTTGCATCTCTTCTGGATTGGTGCTTTGCTTCCAATCGTCACTTTCTTCCTGAAGAAGCGGTTTCCGAACAACAAGTTTCTCCAGTACCTCCACTGGCCCCTTTTCTTTGCCGGCACCGGAAATGTGCCTCCAGCGACCGGTCTCAACTACACGTCCGCTTTTGCCGTTTCGTTCATCTTCAACAAGTGGCTCAAGGGAAAATACCCGCAGTGGTGGGCGAAGGTGGGTCCTTTTACGTGCTTCAGAGGTTGAGTGTACTTTGACCCGTGCTAACCACACTCCAATAGTATAATTACGTCTTATCTGCAGCTCTTGACTCCGGCCTGGCCATATCAGCAATTGTCATTTTCTTCGCCCTCGTGTTCCCCGGCATCAACCTCAGCTGGTGGGGGAACAACGTGAATAAATCAACGATCGACGGCCAAGGCACCCCCTTGAAAGCGATTCCCACCAACGGCACTTTCGGTCCAGCCAGTTGGTCATAAGAAACTTTGTTTTTGCTATTCGATACAGCTTATTTTCGTATAATCTCTGGGGCTGAACAAAACCAGGCTTTCCCGTAACGCAGATACCCATTTTCCAGCTTCCTACTCTGTTCCTAATATGACGATTCCCACGAATTTCAACGCTTTCATTGACAAAAACAGGCGAAACTGTGTACAATCTTCTCTTATTTTCCACGCAAAGCGCCCCTTTCCAGAATTGAGCCCAAAATTCACATAGAAGAGTCTGAGTTACACGCTCAGGCGAGACTAATATTATGGCAGTGCGGCGCGACAAAACGAGCCCAGTCGTTGAAGGCTTTTGGACTGGGCGACAGCTGTCGATCTGAAGACAGAAACGACGCAGCCTCTCGCTGCTTCCACACTTTTTCAATGACGAACCTTGTTCTTGTGACATTTGAGAGGGAATCCGACAGCTTGTCCAGAGCGTACAAGATGAAAGGCCGTGCGTGACGAGGCACCTCTTTATCGCCAAGATCTTCCGCAGCCCACTCTAGCTCTTCTGTAGGATCCAGCTGACAAGCAGTCATGAAAAGAGGCCATGTAAGCCCGGCCTTGACGTCCGCTCTCAAAAGCGTCGCAACGAGCCGCAGGATCTTCTTCACGCTCTGCCTAATAACGGGCGTGGCGGGGTTCGTGTCGTTGAGGGCGGAGTGCAAATACAACTCCACAGTCGACCGCTTCATCTCAACAGATGTGCGAATAATCTCATCCTCGCTGTCAGACTTGAGTTTCGGCTGCTGCAGCATCGCAATCAGCCGCATTCGCTGCCTCTCCAGGTCCTGCCAGCAGTCCTCCGCCGTCGACGCCGACAGCCGGTGGTACTTGAAACTGAGCTCCGTGATCTCGCCGATGATGCTGACGAGGTGCGGCGAGCAGCCCATCCAGAGGTCCAGCTCGTCCTCCTGCGTCGTCCAGAAGTCGTTGCCAAAGATCGGCTCCTCGCCGCAGGCCGTCCGCCCCATCACGTCGTAGAAGGCGAAGTAGCGCTCCGTGAACTTGATGATCTGCTCCCACGGGCTCTGCTGCCGCGCCGCCACGCGGGCGGCGTCGGAGGACAGGCCTTGGCGCCGGAACCGGATGAGATCGCGCGCGCCGCGTAGGTGGGTGACCCAGCGCTTGTCGCACTCGGCGATGATTTCCAGCTGGCACAGAAGCATCATCAACACGAGGATCTCCGAGTTTGCGGCGATGTCGATTGAAGATTTACTGTCCAGCGTCAGGCGGAGCGAGCGGATGACTTTGGCGGAGTAGCTGAGGGACACCGGCTGGAAGCTGGCGTCTGACCTCGCGCGGTGTGATGCTGCGAGGCCGAGGAGGGCGTGCATGAGAGCAGGGGAGGCGGATGAGACGGCAAAGGGGAAAATGAGGGCTGAAAAGGGGGACTCGTTTTTGGCGCACGGCACCGTCATCGGGCAGATGCGATCGAGGTAGTACGATAGTAAATGCGACTCTGCCCTGCTGTCGAGCTGGATGTAAGTCACAGGCCGCGTGAGATGGCTGATGTTGCGCCTGAGCGTGAGCGCCGTGTTTTTGCGGTCGTCGTTGGAGCTGTCGTCGCTGGAGGACGACGAGGACTCCTCGCCCTCGAAATCGGTGATAAAGGTGTTGAGAAAGCCGAAGGAGTGGACGCGGGTGGGTAGGCTCCAGTATGAAGGGTCCGGCGCGGTCGGCGGCGTTGTTGCGCCGGGTTTCTTCTTGGCAGCGCCGCCGGCGGCTCCAGACTTGGACCACACGCCGGCTCGCCCAAAGGCGCGGCCGACGTAGTCCGTCTCCCACTTGAGGATCTGCGCGTAGACGCAGTCGGGATAGCCACGGGAGGTACACGGCCCACAGTGAGGTTTTGCCTCGTCGCAGCGGATCTTGTGTAGCCGGCAGCGGTGGCAGCCGCGGTGGCTCCGGCGAGAGACCTGCTTTGTTGGATCTCGCCGGCGCGGCATTGCGGAGGGCGTGGCGGAACACCGGCGGCTTTTCGACTTGTGAGCTTGGAGGGCAGTGACAATGATCACGAGAGACCAGTGGAGAGTGTGCGTGAATGGAGTCGAAAGAAAGGCCGGGAACACCGCCGCTAACGCCTGGGATTGAATGGTGGACTGGGTGAATGGGGCCACGACATGGACTCAGGAGAGATTTCCGGGGGGACGACCGGGGCAGAGGTGAGGGGGCCGGAATCTGGAGCAACACATTCGGCTGACTAAACTCGACTGGGAGCCCAACTCCAAATCCCACCTGGGCCATCACCATCGCTTGGGGGCTACAGACATTAGAGTTCACCGGGATATGGCCTTCGCCCCCTGAGAGAGTTTCGGGGAGGGGAAACGCCCGAGGAGCAACTCTGTTTGTATTCAGTAACCGCTTGCTGTCACTAATCGTTTGACCAGTCATCTCAAACAAATCCTATCGTGAATAGAGTTGGCGTGATCCGCCTGCTGGTTCTAGAATTTCCGCGGTTGGTTGGTTTAATGATGACGAAGAGAAGTTGCGAGATTGAAACAGATGTTGCGCTAAGCCCTTGTGTTTAGAGGCGTTTCTGATGTGGAGTTGGTAAGCTTCATCAGCATGGATCCCGGATATCACATCCGCAAGACCAGAGTCTCCAAGCCCATGCCCACTGAGATTCAGGAGAAGCTGATAGTCTCTCAAAAACTCTTATTGAGACGATAAAGATGTTGTCTGGTATCATGGAGACTTCCCGAAGAAACGCCATCCCTCATTTCGTCTGATGACGGGAAAGTTGTGAAAGGACGATGCCAGCTGAAAGGACAACCGTAATGCAAAGCTTAAGCGTTCCACTAGGATCGCCAAACACGAGACGAGGCGGAAAAGTCCCAGTCTGGACAACGCATTCGTCCGAAGTGTGCGAAGACTTTAGACTCTGTTAAATAGTCAGTGTTCAAGTGTTTTCTCTGGTTGTAGCCACCTATCAGCATCGTCTCTGCTCCGTTTCTGTTGCGTTCACGACTCGCAACTCCACCGCTGGGTCCATGTGCGGCATTTTCCAGCAGCGTATCAACAACCAATAGGTCGGTTAGCTCAGTTGGTTAGAGCGTGGTACTAATATGTCATCTGACATGTTCAGTAATGCCAAGGCCGGGAGTTCAAGCCTCCCACTGATCATCCCTTTTTGCCCTCCCCTAGAAGGGTTGTAACGAAAAGGTTTTGCGTTGGAGAAGAGCTGGCTTTTTGGACCTGAGGGTGGCTGGCGGTGGGTGTGCGTGGTGCTGATAAGATAAGATAACTGACCCCACGTTCACAGAGTAGATGGCAATGAGTATCTCAGCCTGGACATCATACAAGCCACCGGGCCGTTTCAGTTTTGTGCGGATGCCAAATCCCACTCACTTGCAATGAATGGTCTTTGTGTCTGTTGGTTTGTTATTTTGGCAGGGAGCGCTCGCTCATGTTGTCCGCACGGCTGGAACGTGTCCTGCTGCCCGTTTCTGGCCTTCAGAGTTCGTGTAGTAATAGCGTCAATACATGCATCCAACCCCACCGCTTGGTAACTTTCAAGTTATTCTCAAGATGCAACGGCATACCGATTGTGAGTCAATCCGAATGATGGTTAATCAATATTTATCAGCATCGTATCAAGTCTCCCCTCAGTTCCCGCCGGCACACTCATCGACTCAACCCCCTTCCCCCTCAACTCCGGCTTCTCCAGGCACAACTTGGCCAACGACAGATAGAACGGCGAATCCGTCAGCACTGCCCCCTTCTTCCCGGGCGTGACGATCATATCCTCCGTCACCTTGAATCCCGTCTTCAGGCGCGCCGCAGCGATGGCGTCCTTCGTCTCGTCGTTGTCGATGCGCTCGACACGTACCGCCGACAGCTGGCTCAGCGGCATCCCCGCGCGCGCCCAAACCAGGGCCATGATCTCGCGCATCTTCAGGCGCGGCTTCGTATCGAGCTCTTTCCAGGCGTCTTTGATGGTGATTTGGCGTAGGAAGGTGTCGATTGTGAATTTGTCGACAACCATGCCGTTGCGGCGGACTTTCCACTCGGTGCCGGCGTTGTCGACGCCGTAGCCCATCTCTTCGAGCGCATCCTCGGGGGGCTCTTCTATCACAACACCGGAGGTGATGGATAGGAAGGCGAGGAAGGCGAGAAAGAGGTGGATAAGATTCATTTTGAAAGAGTGTGTTGGTGTTCTGAAAGAGTGTATAGGTGAGTGAGAATTAGGTGCGAAAGGGGTTCGACGAGGGCTTCAGCGCCGAATGATCAAGTTCGGGTGGAAAGTCCAAAGTGAGCATCATAGAGGGGGCGTCCCTAAGTCATAATCTTTCTTTTTTTTCCCCTTCTCTATTTCCCTATTTTAGCAACATATCCTGTCACCAACAGCCGAAATCTGTCTGCCCACCGGCATCTCTCATGATTTCTTGATGCAGTGTATTCAACAATGAGCACGGAATTACCGACGTGATGCCCAGACCAGCCATCCTTCATTTGAGTTATTCGCGTATGGCCAATCTGTCTCGTTGAAAGTGACAACGGATGCGCCCGAGGGTAAGGGTTCTCGTTGGCAGTGCAAAATGTGCGGAATACTCCTTGACGCGTCGAACTTGCCGAACTAATTATTTGGGGGGAAGCCTGGCCGTGGTTTGACCTGGGGGGTGGCCTGCGACCTGTCCGCAGCGATCAGACGACTCAAGGCCCGATCTATTAACAATTAAGGTTTGCAGCCGCTTTTCTTACAATCGGAACAATATTTCCAAGTTCGGCCAGACTCTTGCAAGGCAGTGATGTTACGTTTATGCGAGCCGAATCTCCTCCCGAATCCGAGGTACAGCAGTATTAGTCCTTATTTCCCACGTTATCAAGTACATACAACATGATCCCTGAATAGTTGTAAGTGGGATACCGGCCATATAAGTGCCTACGAGCGTCTAGGGTTATTGTGACGAATTGAAAATTCCGCCCCGGTCCCTACTTGATTTGGTGAGCTCACTTCTTTTAGAGCTGGTATGGAGGGTAACAAACCTCTAGCGACTGCACTGAATTATCCGGCTTCGCCTAGTGAGGCTATCAAAATTGGTTTTATCAAGGAGAAAAGGCTCCGTCGTAGAACCGTGGCCATGTGGAAGTCTACATCTTCGGTAATACCGCTCTGATTCAATCTTGATCGGCAGAAAACAACCGGCCAGGCTGTAGAATCGGCCACCTAGTTGCCTTCTCATAACTAACCTGTCCTCAAAACGCCCCCAATGACCACTTTCCAGCCGAATGTTTTCCTTCTTTGCGCCCCAGTCTCTCTTTACGTGTTTTGATTTCTCAGTCTTAGTGGTCGCTCTTTATGCCATTGGACAATATGCTTTTTTTCAACCTTCCACTCCTTCTGAGATATTGCCTCATCTTTTCAAACGGCGCATCGTCCCATCTACTACCGCGAGCGGGCGATGATCCTGGGGGACATCAATGGTTGGGTCATGACAAAGTCCCAGCCCTCACCCAGAACGCCTCCCCCGGCCTGGAAGGCCAGCTCGAACTTCGATTCAACCCCAGTCTCTACATCTCAGGAGGATGCGACATCTATCCCGCGGTCGACGCCAGTGGAAGTCTCGGGTAAGCAGAACCCTCTCGTATACTCCCCATCGTATCATCCCGGTTACCACCGACTAACATCCCCACCCAGCGCCGGCCTAAAGCCAACCGGCGGCGGACGAAGCGGCTGCGACAAAGGCGGCAACGGCCAGGTCTACGCCCGCCGCGGGACCAGCCAGGACCGCACCGGCATCATGTACAGCTACTACGTCCCCAAAGTGCGCTGGGGCAAGGGCAACGACGAGGGCCACCGCCACTACTGGGCCAGCATCGTCGTCTGGATCAACCGCTGGGGCTGCGACGCCGAGGACGTCCCGTCCGTCTGGCCCGTCGGGCTCTCCTTCACGGCGGACCACGCGACGTGGCAGACGGCCAGCGCGGGGGTGACGACCTACGAGGCGTCGGGCGTCGGGCTCGACACGCCGACGCGGCCGCGGATGCAGATCCACGATAATGCCATCACCCCGTTCGGGAACGGTGACGCGTCCAAGGCGTTTGGGCGCACGCTGGTGGGATGGGACTCGTTGCCGGCGGCGGCGCAGAAGGCGTTGGGGGATGTGAAGTACGAGCATACGGAGGTCCCGTTTATTGATGCCAATTTCCAGAAGTACATGGATGCGGCGTACCGCGAGAGCTTCTACGGAGGTCTGAAAGAAGATCAGGGTTGCGATGGTGGAGGGAAGACGCCTACGACGGAGGCACCGAGCTCGACGACTACGGCGCCTGCGATTGACGATCCGCTAAGGTGACGAAGATATAAGGCAAGCTGGAGTTGGGATCACTTGTTGTAAATAATGGGAACGGCCTTGTATGGAGCAAAGGGCGTCTGGTTGATACAATCAATTTATGGTATGGGATTTGGGAGAACAATGGTCTTGGGCGAGTAGGTGTAGAAACGAAACAATTGCAACGCCTCTCCCAATGACAAGAACTCGATGCCAGCATTCTGAGCTAAGCAAGCCGTCAACTACATACACTCGTCTGACAATCTTCCCCAATCACGAGAAATTAAGCCGATCCCCTCCGGGTAGGGTCTTTAGACTGCCCGTGATGTGGGGCCGTATATTCGGGCTACCTTAGTGCACCGGTCTGACTCAAGCATTCACGGGAAGCGGCGTTATGCATATTGATCATAAAGATTGAATTACGCTACAAGGACATTATGGTTCGCAATGATGATATCCTGTACCTGTCATCACCAGTAATTATATACGTTGAACGTTGCTCTTCTAATCCAACTGCGATACCGTCTCGCTGGTTTACCACGAAGAAGGTCCGATGAAGGAGCCATCGTCAGGAAGAATCTTCGTGACGGCAGCGCCGTCGGAATCCAGGTTGTTGAACGGCACAGAGTTACCCCACCAGTCAGGGAACTCGGTGTTTGACAGACCCAGAGCAAGGCCAGAGATGACGATGCAAAGGGCGGTACCAATGTCGAGAGCACCGGAGAGGGCGTAGTTGTAGCGAGCTGAGACAGGTTAGCCAAAGGAACCAGAAAGCGAGAAAAGAATAAGACTTACTCCACCAGCCGAAGAAGCGGCCACGGATCCACCAGTTGAAGATGAGACCGACAATGACCCACTGTCCCAACCACCAGGTGGTAGCGGGAGGGATCATACCGGCGGCGCCGAAGATGGCGGGGAAGAAGACGTAGCGCATGATGCTGCGGGGGTAGCGGCGCGCAATGAAGTACTGGACGACGGGGCAGACGAAGCCGATGAGCCAGAACCAGTTGACCCAGGAGTACAGCTGGCCGGCACCGAACATGCGTTTGGGGCCGATGACACCCCAGATGACACTGGCGTTGTAGAAAGTGCGGGCGTTGGGGCAGGTGAGACCCTGGGCCTGGGTGGAGGTGCAGACACCCTCGATGTTGCCACGGAGGAAGTTGTAGGAGGCGATTTGAACGAGGGACAGCCAGACGACAGCGAAGGACTGGGCGGCGAACATGGTGCGGGGGGGAATCTTCATGTAGTGGCCGACCTTCATGTCGGACACGTACTGCAGACCGTTGTAGCACAGCATGTAACCCCAGGACTTGAACAGCATCATGGCGACGGGGCGGCCGGGGGTCATGTAACCGACAATCATCTCGGTGACGACGTTGAGACCGGTCTGCTGGTTGGTGACGGCCTGGATGATGCCGACGGGCAGGATGAAGAAGGCGCCGATGAGAATGCAGATGATGTACGCCCACCAGGTCAGGTGGGTGTTCCAGACCTGGCACGCAATCATGCCGAAGGCGAAGCTGACGGCGAACATGGCCATGAACCACCACTCGGGAGCCTCCTTGTACTTGCGCATAAGCTTCAGGTGGACGTCGGCCTCCTCGTTCTTGGCGGAGCGGGTGCGGGCGATGATGTCACCGCCGTAGAAGAGGGCGACGTGGGTAAGAGTTGAGATCAGGCCAGCGAAACCCATGCCGTAGCTGAGGGAGAAGGCAGGGCCGAGAATGAGGGGGGAGTACTCCTTGTAGGCGGTCTCGTTGAAGGTGAAGTCAGGGGTGAGAATGAGACTGGTGTTGTAAGTCTGGGCGAAGTGGTCAAAGTTGGAGTTGGCGCTGATGGGAAGGTAGCGATAGAACTCAGGACCGCCCCAGGCAAGGCCAATGCAGCCGAGCATCATGATGATGATACCAATACCGACGTTGGCGATGGCGAAGGCAGGAGTCTGCAGGGGAGACAGCAGGAAACCGGAAATTGTGCTCCAGTCGAAGGAGATGGGGATGAGACCGAGACCGGTCTGGCCACCAAAGACCTGGTTGACGACGACGTTGTTGGGGGCAATCCAGCACACAAAGGTGAAGATCTGGAGGAACTGGGCAAACACCTCGGGGATCCACTCGTAGACGAAAGTACTGGCAGCCACAATGAGGAAGAACTTGTAGCGGCCAATCCTCCAGCCGTTGGTAAGGGCTGGGTCCGAGGACGAGTGGTCGTGGAGGGAGTTCATGACGGTGGTCGTGACGAGCGTCGCGGGCCAGACCATGGCGGCGGGCCAGACGAGGTAGCGGCGCAGGATACCGGCGATACCCAGACCCATGGCCTGGGTCGAGATGATGAGCAGGATCTGGAAGCCCCAGCCGAAAAACTGCTTGTAGAAGATCTCCTGGGCGAGGAGAATGTCGATGGCGTAACTGGCGGTGGCACCGGCGGCGGTCATCATGGTGATGACGGTGTGCTCCTTCATGTTGAAGGGACCGGGGTTGAGCTGGAGAGGAACACCGGCAATGTGCCATGTCTTGTCGGGGAAGACCTTGGCCCAGTAGACACCCGCGGGGTAACTGATCAGTTGCACAACGGTCTGGGTGATGATGATGGGGGAGCGACGGAGGCCGAGGAGAATGTTGCAGGCGGCGATGATGGTGCACATGATGGCGCCAATCACCCACGCGCGGATCGTGTTGATGGGCAGATCGGGGTCGTCGAAGGGTTGGACCTGCGCCAGTCAGTCTCATAGCTCACGATTTGGTTATTCCTAGGGATGAAGCATACCGAAGACCGGACCTCGGGGTAGGGAGAGTCCTCGTGGAGAGCCTCCTCGACGGCCTTCTCCTTCTCGTAGTCGCCGGTTGCCAAGGCCTCCTCGGCGACGTCGAGCTTGTCAATGTCCAAAAACGGATCCCACTTATGGATCTTCTTGAACTTCTTGAGCTCCGCGTCGGGGTTGACCTCGGCGTCGACACCGGTCGCGACGGCGTCGACCACGATGGGCCGCTCCGACACCTTGCCGCGCCACTTGCTGAAACCCATTGTCGTTTCTCTCACTGTTGGGCTTGGTGTTGTGGTGGGTGTCTTGAGTTAGGCCCTGAGTTCTAAGAGACAGAAACTCAAAGGGGGAGAGAGGGTTGAGGTTGTTGGCCGTGACAACTGGAGAGCCAAGAGCAAGAGACGTCCTTCGACGAGGGCGGCGCGTCAAGTTGTATTTAGATGCGCAGCTCATCTGCGGTCGCCTCGCCTCGCCCTTTCCACCACCACCACCACCACACCCCGTTGTCGACCTCCCATATCGGCGGTCGGTGGGCCGAGATACTGACCTGCCTAATGGAGTCGCACTGCGAAGCGGGCCAACCCCTGGCGGAGCATCGACCGATACGAAATGGCTAGATATTGCGGCCAAATGCGCCCGGAAGCTTGATTCAACTGGGCGCAACGCAGCGCGGGTGTTCGGTTGGGTAACTGGGTTGGCTTGACTACACAACCTTGACAGGCGCACTGACGTGCCCGATTAACGAAATCGCCCCCAGCTTGTGCCAATCGTTCGTCGCAAAAGGTCCCCTGGCTCGCTATCTCCCACAGATGGACAGATGGACATGCTTCGTCGCCACCATCTAGAAGGAGGGTGGGCGGTGGGTGGATGGAAAACGGTGACTTTGGACCTTGGGCGTGCCGAAAGAGGAGACAAACATGTCGATTGATAGGACACACCGGCATGAGGAGGCAGCGCACCACCCACGCTGCAGAGCTAGATGCCTCTAGTCCCGCGTTCGAGACAACCGCGAACGACCGACTTGCTGGAGACAGGCAGCATGGTATGTGGGAGGGTGGTGTTCTGGGGGTGGACTTTTGCTTCCGCGTTTCTCCACCCGCTGATAGGGATGGATCATGGGGGGATGCTTGCGCTGACTGGACGATATTATGAGAGGCACGATATCTGGTGCGACTCGAGCACAGTACCACTAGGTATCCTTCGGCTCTGGAAATGACATGACCAACACCCCGTTTTGATAGGCTATGTCGACTATAGAAGTGGCAGGTATGTGGCGCTCTAAGGGCGGAGCGGTTGGTCGGAAACCATGAGCGTAAATGATCCATCCCGCTGCCACAACCGCCCGCCGGCGCCCTCCGTTGTCGCTCCTCCAGGAACGGAATTCCCATCGCCATCAGCTCATTCCGGCGGACGTCGGCGGAGGTCAACAGAGGAACATTACGAAATAACTACGCCGTTGAGCCACCGAGAGCCGCCTGCTAGATCGATCGCCAAGGGGGCTGGGCGCCAAGCTGGAGAGGCAGACAATTCGGAGGACGAACCGGCACGGGATGGCGGCCAAGAAGCACCAAGCAGCAGACCAACACAGTTAAGCAATGCCCAAGACGGGTGGCCAAGAACACCAAGGTCGGGGGATAAACAGCTGGGCAACGCCCGCGATACGGTCAACGGCCGAGGGGGAGGAGGGGAGGAAATCGGGGAATGGCCGTTGGCGCCCCCAATTGGACGGCGAGTCTAGCTGCCGTCGCCACTCCCCGAACAAAAAGTCATGCAAAGGGACGCACGAGTGGATCTGCCGCGTGCAAAGGGACCTTGGGAACTATGGGGAACCAGGGAGCTCCCTGTCTAGCCTGGTTCCCTCCCAGGAGGCCAAGACTTTTTGCAGTTAATCATCCGAACAAACCCCTGCAAGGGCACGCGAGACGACGGCCACTCAGAGACCGCAAGACAGGGACGTCTGGTCGACCGTTCAGGAAGGAAGCCGGAAGGGACGGCAGAAGAGCCACCCACGAGAATCCGCGGAGGGAGACACACCAATCAGCTCGGTGGAATGTCATCGCGGCTGTCAGGTTAATGACACAAGACCGACCAACCGGTTCAAAAAGTTCCTTCGCTTCCTCCGCAAAGAGGATCAGAGACCCAATCTGCGCCCTTTTGCCCTCTTGCAGACATGAACAAACGTCCCTCTAAGCTGGTAGCCGCGCCCTGCCTGACTGGTTTGACTGGATCATGCCTGCGAGCTGGACCCGAGCTGCTGGAG